CCCCACATCAGCCCCAAAGCTCCACAAGGCCTAATCCAAGGACCCCCACCCCCACTATGTGATGAAGCCGATTAAAGGAGCCCAGATAGATTAATCTGATGTAGCGGCAGATGCTGTCTCAAGACTAATGTGATCTAATAAGAGATTCCTATACTGATTGATACTAAGGGCATTTTTATTTTTCCAATTCAAGAGTACCGTTTTCTTTGCGATACATAGAGCAGTAAAAATCATGCGAGATGTGTTTTTCTCTGAGGTGACATCATCTAAGATAGCCAATAAGCAAACAGACGGAGATAGTGTGGTATTACATTTCAGACATTTAGACAAGTCTTCACAAATCTGGCCCCAGAACCTCTGAACAGGTGGACAGAACCAAAATGCATGGATATAATTGTCAGGTGTGTTGTCTGTGCACTGTGAGCAGGAGTTAGATGACGCAAATCCCATCTTGAACATTCGCTGACCTGTATTATGTCCTCTTTGGAGGATTTTATATTGTGTTAGTTGTAAATTAGGATTTCTAGTCATTTCAAACGTTTTTAAGCATATTTGGGACCAGGTGTTTTGGTCAAAGTTGACTGATAAATCCGTCTCCCAATTCACAATTGGTAATGATATTGAATCATCTATTCTAGACAGTTTCTTATATACAGTATTTTGGAAAGCAATTTAGGTGATTTAATGTGAAGGAATTCCAATTCGCTTACTGGTGTTTCTAACAAAGTGTTATTAAGTTTAAATTTCTTTTTTATTATAGACTTAATTTGTTGATATTCTAAGAAATATTTCTTGTCAGTGCCGTATTGTATCATTAATTCATTAAATGGAATAAAGTCTACTCCTTCAAATATATGTTCCAGATATTCGATTCCTTTACCTTTCCAACCTGGAAAGTTTAACATATTGTTTTGTTGCAGAATGTCAGGATTGTTCCAGATGTGTGTATGTCTGCATGGGTTTAGTGAAGATTTTGTCATTTTCAAAAATTCCCACCATGCTGCCAGAGATGAGCTGATATTGATGCATTTAAAGCACTCGTATTTTTTATGTTAGTACTAATAAATGGAAGATCTGAAATCTTAATGTTATGGCACAACGTTTGTTCTATATATAGCCAAGATTCATCTAATGGGTTAGGATTTAACCACTTTAAAATGTACTGTAGCAGGTTGGCTAAAAAGTATTGATAAAAGTTGGGAAGCTCCAGCCCTCCTGTATCTTTAATTTTCTGCAGTGTTTTTAGGCTAATACGTGGGGTTTTATCATTCCATAGGAATTTAGAGATGAAAGAGTCCAGGGATTTAAACCAGACAGATGAGGGCTTATTTGGTATCATTGAGAATAAATGATTTATTCTTGGTAGCACCGTCATTTTAATTGAAGCAAC